AAGCAGACCTACGCGCTTTAGGACCCTTCAAAATCTCTTTGCTCCTTCTTCATTCATAAGTTGGGACAATCTTTCATTCTCTACTGATCTGTGATCAGCTCGCTTCCTGTTGTATTTCATCACTTACAGTACGTTTATATATGTGGTATTTAAATTACTGTTACATGCATAACGGCACAGTAGTTCAGTCATTTCTGAAATTGATCGACCACGTTCCGGAAGCATTTCTTTCGTATGTCTGTGTGGCTGTCTTTGTTCATTGCTTATCTTTTTCGGTGATTGTCCCAGCTACGGCGTCAAGCACCCAAGGAATCATCCATAGCTGCGACAATACTACAAAAGGATGCACAAAATTCCATTAAATGGAAACGAATGGAAGGTTAGCCGCTGCTGTTACAATTTACTGAGCGAAAGAATTATTCTTTATCTTGCAAGAATACAATTTTCCCGATGCCTGAACAATTGGGCTCAATTCGCCTAACAGTATTTCTTTCACACACTTATTACCTGGAGCTTTACTGTTGCCTTCGGAAGGCACCAACTCCCGCCGATGTAAGGCCAGAACTATGAGATTCGGTCACGTTTCGCTACTGGATGCTTTCTTTGCTTGTCCATCATCCGAAGCACTTTAGCCTAATTTGACCGTTCAATTGGCCGTGGGTGTCTATATGTCCAGTCCATTTTACAACTTACTCTGGGAGGACCTCCTACTTGTTTCTCGGGACAATATCCTATCCTTCAGGGCTTCAACAACACTTCAAGGTATTTCATTGGATATCCCTCGGAGACTTCACGCAATTCTGCAGAAGATCCACACATCACAATCAAAAGATATTAAATCCAGGAGCCACCAATCAGCTCAGCCTACGGTCAGGACAGAACAGGACTTGGTAACAAAATAAGTACTCGCCCAAGGCACCAGCAAACTGAAAACTGGAGGCAAGTTCACCACGAATAACCGAACAAATAAGCGATCAACAAATTACATAACCAATTGCAACTTGCTGTTCAATGGATCGGCGACAGCGTTTCAGGACGTGGTGGGTGGTCGCTTGGCAAGCCTTCTTCCTGTAAAACGTCACAAATGTCCGTTTAACAACACTGGAACGTGGCGAAACTGACTCGCCAAGAAATAAAGTCACAGCCCATGACTTCACTCTGGCATGTCAACTAGCGTCAGCATTCTTGGTAAATTCGGAACACTGGCACTTGTACATCTGCATATACTGTCTTCTCTTCTTTCTACCTTTCAAGCATATTCTGTCAGCTCTTCTCTTTCTACGATATCACGGTTGCTCTTTGCCTTACGTACGCACGCACCTAGTATGTTGTCGCACTCTCGTCCTTGCTCTAAAATTGTCTTCTAATCGATCGTTCAGGACTCTTGCTCTATTAATAACTGATGTATGACTGCAATATAGGGCAGACCGGTTATGTGCTTACAACCGAGTCCCGATCTCACGACAGCCAATTTATTATTTCGCACTTGCACCATCGTGCAGTCCCAACCATGGACGTTAGGACAATTTTCTACAGTCTCTTTTACGCTTGCCATAAGTTGTCTGTACAGTCGCACATACCAGATCATGCCTCCATGGGCGTACATCACATAGTTCAGCATAAAAGATTTAGTTAGTTTTTTATTTAACAATTGACTTGTATACAGTGTCGGTCAGTTGCCTGAGTTTGAGGCTGGGTACGGCGGTGGGTCAAGGGAAACAGATCGGTCGAGGGTGCCTGGTGCGGAAGATGCAACTGCGGGTGCTTTTACTTTTGGGGCTGCGCCAGGTAAAGTTGGGTGCAGATTTTTGAAAAAGACCACCTTACGATAATCGATGGATATAACTGTCCGGTGACCATACTGCTTTAGTTTTAAATTCCTATGTGTTATTTAATGAACTTTGAAGTGGCCGGTGTGGAGAGGCTGAAGGTGCCGACGCAGTAGGTTTTTGCACACGAAGGTAGGAGTGCAGGTAGAGAGTCCTCTGTGCATTTGCATATCTCTGCTTGGCTCACACGGAGGGGTCGAGCGCAGCGAACCCATGCGTTGAGAAAGTGAGGCTGCAAAGTTTAAAGGTGTCATACTCGATGGCGAAAAGTCACTATGAGCTCTCTTGGCAGCCCAAATTTATGCTGTACACCAGCTCTGCTGGTGTAGTGATGGCAGCTGGGCATCCGTATTGGGACACCCAAAAGGCCGCAAACGTACACATAACTGTGTCGTCTGCGCAGTCTGATACATGGATAGCTTCAGGCCATCTAGTGAACCGGCCGACACCTGTCGGGAGGTATAAAAACTGTGAGTGGGCAACCCGGGGTACTACCAAGTCTGAGGGCACGTGTCAGCACAACGAAACGGGAGCAGGGAATGAACCTAGAAGACTGCGGGTATGTCGGTGTACCTTGGAGCGTTGGCAGTGGACACAAGTTCGAGCCCAGTTACGAACATCTTTGTTCATGCTTGACTAAACAAAATGCTCAGTGCCCAAGTTGAAGAGGCGCTGCTACCGAGATGAGATAGTGAGTGGTAGGCACCTAAGACGTTGCTTCTGAAAGAGGCAGGCACGATGATCCTTGGAGCACCAGTAAAAGTTCACAAAAGCTAGTTCACTTCGTAGCTAGGAGAGGAACTGGTTGTACTTGCAGTGGAGCGAACTGCATGGTGCATTAGCAGTCGTCATCTTGGGCATGGGCGGATGCAATGACGGCAATTTCGACAGAACTATGGGTGGACAGAGAGTTAACGCGACAGCGGGTGTCCACTACATGGTTGGCGAAAACTGATACATGACTATGTCAGCAGTGAACTGCGTGCCGAATTCTACGTGCTTTTTTCACGTAGTGACTAATTGTCAGGAGTGAAAAACAAAACTAAAAGGCTTGTGCTCACTGTAGACCGGGATCAGGTATCATTCGGGAACTGTGGAGTTATTTTGTACTCACTAGTTAGCACATGGGAACCAAGCGCCGGTTTTCTTAACTAGGAGGTGCTGTAGAGTTGACCAACAACTGCTTGAAAGTAGAATGATCCAGGGCTTGATCATAGACTTGAAATCTTTCCTAGCGGCCTGTAGTCAGGCAGGTGTAAGTCCTGGTTGTTTCGCAGTCACGAGTGGACAGTAGTGACGATGTGCTGTTGCACGTCGTGCTTGGGTTTCGCCGCATGGTTATTTGCTCTAACAAGTGATGGAAACTGCTGCAACAATGAAGAATACTGCAAACAAATTCGAAGTCAGATGGCAATACCTGCAGTAAGCTTTCCGGAAGCAGTAAACAATGCAGTAGCATCTCGTAATCTCCTACAACGTAGATATACTACAAGGCCAACCTTCATAATAAAATCGTTACCGTTGATAAGATTCGGTGCGCAAGGCAATTTTAAAAATAAAAGGAGAGCTACGACGTGGCCCAAGACTGTGCGTGCGAAGTTTCTGGCAATAAATCGCGATCTGAGTCTGGTTAGATGGTAGCAGCGTCATTCCAGCCGGCTGTAATGAGCCTTTTTCCAACGGACTGCTTATGCCGCTTATCTTCGCGCCGGTGTCAACCAAAATATGGTGTTTGATTGTACAGTCAAATACGAAAAGGAGGCGAGTAATACTTGGGTCAGCAGCACAGCCCTGCATTACTGACAGGCTGCGACAATTCCCGATTTGGGGTTAGTGAAAGCCTTTGGGGGAGTATGCATCGGGCGGGCAGTTTCTTGCGGCATTACGAAAGCGGTAGTGGAGGTAGCAGTGAGAGTACGACGCTCGTAGGCGGAAGTTGCTGCGAGGCCTGCATCTAGAAGAGGATCTTTGGTTTCGTGTTCGGCGGCAGAAAAGTGTGAACTGCTGAGCTCCAAGTTTGCGAGCCACACACTAACATGGTCGGGTATGGCACTCACTGAAGGGCTTGTAGTGGACGCCTCATCAAAGTGATTCACAGCGTTTGCACAGAAATTTTCGTGTACTTATCGGCCGCTTCCGCCAGCTTGCCCAGTGGAAGGTCTTCAGCCAAACTGCTAGTATCGCCTCCGAGGTTGTTGGGCGACGCTTTATTTAGATATCGGAAGAATGGTGTCACCTAACATTGATGAACCGACAAGTGCACGCATGTGTCGGAGGAGACGAGACGGTACAGGATCATCAGGCTCGATGCCAAAAAGGTGGATGCCGGAGGCGTGCGTCTTCGGATAAGGTAATGCTTTCTAAGGTACCTGTTTTTGGCTTGTCTTAAGCTGAATCAGTCAGCATAGGGTCAAGGATATCGATGAGTTCTGACGCTACGTGTGTAGGCAAACGAGAACACATGAAAACATCGTAGACGGTAAGGAGATCTTAAGGGAACGAAAGAGATTCCACTTGTATAAATCATGCACGTTTTTTGGACACAAGTATGATGGCAAAGAAAATGTAACGGAATATTCAGAGAACTGTTCAAAAAAAGGTTGAGCAAATGTAATGAAGAAAAAAATCACGCATTGCCAAGAGATTCAGGGTCACCAATTAACTTGGAGGTCCGGGGGTCTAATAAGTTCGAGTGCGGGGGCAAACATTATCTTAGGCAAAAACACAATAGAAGTACAAGCAAACCCATTTTCGTTGTAGTTCATACTCCATCAATGTTATTCCGATGCCGACTAGCGATTCGAAGATATAAATTCGACTAATGGAATGATGTGGCAGTAGCACAAGCCGAGGCAGCCTGAAACGAAAGTAACACGCGCCAGCGCGTTGAACTTTTGCACTCAACGTTTGTGAATTTAAACAAATGGCAAATAGGGTATGTGACGAATGTGATAAAACAAAGCTAAAATATAGTGCAATCACAATCACTAGACGAGTTCTTCGCGCTTACTGGCCCACGAAACGGAAAGCTGCCTAAGCCAAAGCTTATTTCCTCACCGGACCCACTTGTTCTGTCCTGTCCTGCAGTCAAATATATATATATTTGCGAATATTGATGCAACAAAAACAATTATTGGCGAACCTGACATTTTTTTATTCATAACCGACCTTGTTCTCTGTAGTTAGTTTTTAACAGAATTACCATTGTTGCGCTTGGGGCCTTACTTTGGTTGTACCAAATTTAGTAATCTTGGTTTTGCCCGCCAATGACGGATTCCGCTTTTTGCGAGAAATTACGTAGTGAGTTCATTACACTGGTCGCCTATTTGCACCGCTGCAGTTGACTGGTCAGTACTTTTGTGTTTATTACAATTTTTGGACAGTTACTTGCTTTCGATACTCTTATGCTTCTCCATACACGTCATATTTGGCATGTTACGCAGTCTACGCACGTTGCTGTAGTACTCAATAACGTGCGTAACAAGTGCGAACTTGTTGCTCTTGTGTACCACTGTCACCCGGATATCCTCGCTTTCATCGAAAAATGGATGTCTGCGGAAGTCCTGATTTAGTGGAATGTGAGTCTGTAGGAGCCTTCAAAAGTGGCTTAGATGAATGTTTGTCTGTCCTTTTCTCGGAGATATTCTATTTGTAATGGAATATAGTGTATTTTGCAGTATTAAGAAGAGTCTATCCAATGTCGAAGTGCCGGGGCCGCCTCACCTACCGGCACGAGAAACAGGATGTTCGTTAGGCGAAGGCCTCTATCGTCCGTTGTACCTAACCTGACCTTGCCTGATCTGGTCATGGACAGTGAAATATTCCTACCTGGCTACACACTACTGAGGTCGGATCGCCTTTGCGACAGTCTTCGTGGTGAGGTCGCACTCTACCTAAACTCGAGTTTAAGTGCCTCCAAGACATTTAACTTCCACTCAACGGATAGGATCGTAGAAGCCCTTTCGGTTGAAGTGTGTACTCTGTCTTCGTAATTTAGAATTGTGTGTCTAGAAGTCTTGATAGTGTTTCTACAAGTTGCGTTGATTTTATTTGCGCTCACTCTACCAACCGGTGCTTAGTGATGGGGGACTTTAACTTTCCAGAGATAGACTGACGCAAACTCTTAGGAGACGGCAACTTAAGGCTCGACTGAGGTCCTCTGCAAAGCGCTGACGTCCCTATTCGAACGTATCTGGAAGGGTCTCCAGGCTAACTGGAGCGAATCGATTATGGTGACAATATACAAGAAGAGCAGTCGCACAGACTGTTCTAACCACAGAGGTATTAGCCTAACGCCAGTTGTGACATAACTATTGGCCTCCATTATCGTTCGTCGCCTCACTGTGGAACGGGAATCTTGGATTAGGGAACAGCAGGCAGGTTGCCATCCAGGATGGGGCCGTGTAGACCATGTATTCGCTTTGCGCCGGGCGCTAGAGCAACGCCACGTATACCGCAGACCGACAATAGCTGTGTTCCTCGATTTCAAGAGCGCGTTCGATTCAGTCGATCGATTGATTCTGTTGGAAATACCTGCGCGGAAAGGTGTTTCCACGAAATATGCGAATATCCTACGTGCTGTATACTCGAACACGACAGGCCGCGTCAGGGTCTACGGTGGCTTATCGGATAGCTTTCCGACAAAAAGTGGCGTTCCTCATGGTTGTCCGATTTCCCCATTTTCGTTCAATTTCGTCGTGGATACTGTCATGGAGTGTTCCCTTGGGGAATCTCACGATGTAGGCGTTGAAGTGCTGGCTGCTGAAAGATTAGTGGATCTTGGTTATGCGGGCGATATCCTCTTGCTTTTCAACTATGTTGGGGCGGCACAATCAGCCCTGAATAACCTGTCCAGAGTGGTCCCATTATTTGGCATGCGCTTCGCACTGTCAAAGTGCAAAGTGTTGCTGCAGGACCACCAGCCACCTTATGACTCCTTGACCCTTGCTAAAGAGGAACTCGAGGTGGTTGATCAATTCACTTATCTTGGCAGGTACAACTGTAACCATGGGCACATAGAAACTGACTTCAGCTCACGCATTGCAAAAGCCAGAGCTGCCTTCTTGAACCTGCGTCATCTTTGGCGACAGAAGGGAGTTTCCCTCCGTCTGAAAGGCCGTGTATACAAGGCCACAGTGAGGGCCGTTCTGCTCTATGGTAGTGAGACGGCCCCTTCGGTTTGAAGACCTGAGATGCTTTCAAGTCCTTGATTATCGTTATCTGCGAAGCATTGCTGGTGTCGGATGGTACCAACGTGTCCGCAACGATGATGTGGATAGGCGATTACTAGTTAGTGATAATCATGCTAGCTCCCTAGAACTACAGGTAGCATTGAATAAGTTGCGTTGACTCGGGCACCTACTATATATGCCTGGTCACCGTTTACCTAGGAGGGCCTTGTTTAGTCTGCAGGTGTAGGGTGGCGCAAGGCCCGAGGTTGACAAGTTGACTTGGCATCGGGCAATGAAGTTACTGATGACCAAACTGGGTGTCGTTGGTCCGTCTCGTCTTCCGGGCTGAAGTCCACCTGACTCGCCTTGTGCATGGCTCGAGACTTTACAGGACGTGGCACGCGACCGACACCAATGGCGCGCCTGCTGCCCTCTCCTACTCGGATTGCCTGTTTAAAGTGTGTTTGGTGCTGAGTTATTTGCTGGGTAATGGCTGATTGTGACACGGGGCAGTGAAAGCCGCAAGGAAGCTGTCTTGCCGATGCCGCCTTATCTTTACACGATAGCCAGCTGTTTATGACAATATGTTGTCTACACAAGGTGTAGGCGCCTTAACCCTGAATACTTGCTTAGGGCATTAAGTTTTTCCGGTAAGTCCCCCTTCTCTTCCTCTTCTTATTCTTCATTGCATAGGTCCTCATGGTTGTATGGCAGCGAAGCATCAGTTCAAATGGCTGACGCACTGCTGTTGTTGCTGTCGTTGTGATCCCTATAGGCATTCCTTCTTAAGTACGTTTTTGAACTAGGACAGGTTTATTTGATTAATTTTGGACCGTACGTAAATCGGTTGGCTACTTTCTGATCGTTCTCAATGGGGAGACAGATTGAGAGGGAAATTAACATTGCTACTCAAAATCCCGAAGTTTCTCAGACCCACTGATCTCTGTAGACCAGCTGCGTTCGACTACTTGCGAGGTCATTGTCTACATTTGAATCAGTAAAGATCTAGGCTCGATATAAGAGCTAAGTTCTCTACAAATCATTTAGTTCTTAATTGGAATAAGCTCTGCATTTTTGAAACGTATGTTACCGTCTTATGTAAGACGGTAAAGGACTTCAAGCGAACACTGTTTGGCCCTGTTCCCCGAGCTCCCTTGACAAATCATAGCAAACTCTAACCAAAAGCAAGTATCTTGTGCTACCGTGAAAATCTTGCTGCTGTTTTGCTCTTACTTTTTCTCCAGTATAAACGCACATCATCTACCATCAAGTCGAAGTGATGGCACACGAAACTGTACGCTTGTTGAGCGAAAGCCTGTTTCGTTCCTGGCTCCTCTCATATCCTGCCCTTCCAAATACACCCGAATCACATCGCGGTCAAAAAGTCAATGCCTTCGTTGCCTACAATAACAATCCCCGCTGTGATCTGGCCACTTGTAATAACAATAAACGCTAAGACAGAACAGAACAACATAAAAAGGAACTGCAGATTCTTATTGCCATTTCTGTGAACAGGGCACTCGATAGCCTCTCTCCAGTTGACAGGAAGAGAGCAGCTATGAAGGGATCTGTCAACCAGAGAAGCACAGCACATTAGCCATTTCGTACAAAGCCTTGGGATGGATTATCTCCATTCTCGCTGCTTTAGTGGAATTTACTTCAAGCAGGAGCGTGAGTACCTTCGTTTCTGATGGAAAGTTGTGTCAGGAGGGAGTCTTTTGTGTGCCCTAACGTCAGTGCATTTGGGGCCGTCTTGCTTTTCCCTATAGACACCATCGTGCCAACATTAATTCTCCTTGCGAGACAACGTAGTAGCCAAGCTCTTTCATTGAGTTCTCATCACGCCACGTATGACGCTTCTATTTCCAAAGCAAATCTGGAAGTCAGTGTTCTGACAGTTAACGAGGAGCAACAGCTCCAAAACAGACTTGCACACAAAATCCATCTTCGGGTAAAAACAGCACTCCGCCCCGCGACCGCTGCCTTACCATCAACAACCTTCCTGAATCCAACAAAAACATCGCTGCTGAGGTGACACTCGATTATCAAGCCTTCCACAAGATAATGGTATAAAACTGTTCGATGAGGGCGAGCAGGGATTAAACTCGTATCTGCTTTTCGCCTTGGTAATAAAACAGATGACCCGTCTAAGTTGCGCCCACTGAAAATCGTTTATCACGACGAGGAAGAATGCCGGCGCATTCTGAGACGGGCTTCACGCCTCAAAGGGGAAACCTATTTCCTGAAAGACCTCACCCCAGAGGACCGAGTCAAAATGAGACAAGCTGTTATTGAGCTCCAAACTCGTAGTGCGAATGGCGAAACCGACCTCCACATTGCAGATTTTCGCGTAGCGCAGAAAACTCCGAGAGCTCGATGGAGGCCAATTCTTCTCCCCGGACCCCAAACGTAAATTCTGGAGTACGTGTGTTACTTGCGAATGTACACAGTCTCAGGAACAAGCTAGATGAGATTCAACTTCTTATTTCATAGCAGCGACCGGATCTATTAGCGTTCACAGGGACTTGGCTGTCTTCAGAGATATCGGACTCAGCGGCTCATCATTCAGCTTATCAGCTCCCGATCTGATCGCTCCAGTCGGAGATCTGGTGGTGGAGTAATCCTCTATTCCAAATCCTACCTCAAAGTCAACGTTCTTAAAACGGACTGCGACAACCATGATGCGTCAGAAGTACTCTGGTGTCGAATTCACGATGGCTTCCAGTCGCTGACGGTCGGAGTAGTCTACAGACCCCCATCAATATCTGGCTCCTACCTCCTGCACTCAGTGAGAAATAATGCGAAGGGCACTAACTGTCTGCTTATAGGGATTTTAGTGCCACTGTCATCAACTTGGGACCTATTTCCTAGTGATCTTCCCACGGAGTCCTTTGAAGCTCGTCTACTAGACACCGTCCTTGAATATAACCTAACGCAACATGTCCTAACATCAACACGGATGTTCCCAAGCCAAAAATCTCACTTTTTAGACCTGATTCTCACTTCGTCCCCATCTGACGTCTCCGATCTAACGATCATCCGCTGGGCAAGAGTAACCACTTTTTCATCTTCCAGTGGACACGATGCCTTACACTTCATGACCAGGGGTCATGTCGTTGAAACTTCTCT